AAGTTGTCTGCTTATACTCTATAAACTATTATAGAGAATAACTTTTCTAAGAGGCCTGCTATTCACAGAACTCATCTATTTGAGAAACTGATTAATATGACTGCTAAGTTAAAAGACTTAAATTACACTTTCATTGAATATCTAATTACTATAAGAACTGATTATATTCATCTAGAATATGAGATTCTGAATATTATGTTTTTCAACAGACTGCTTACAGAAGTCAACAGAGATTGAGCCTTATTTATAAGAAATTAAATGAATCAAATTGACAAAGATAATATTCAACTCTTAGAGAATGATTTTATAAGCCTGTGTTATAATATTCTTTTGCAACTCTCTGCTGTGAATAAAGTAAGTACTGAATTCATGAAAAATCCTGCAAATAATGCTCAAGATTTCAATAGAAAGAATAAAAAGAATAAGAAGAAAGAGAAGATCTCTGAGAATAAGAACAAAGATTTCATCAAGCTGAATAGAAAGAGTAATAATACTATTAAAATATATTATCATTATCAGAAGATTGATCACATTCAAACAGATTGCTAATTAAAATTTTCTGAAAAACACTCTACTAGCTGTGATAAGAATAAGAATAAGAATGAAACAGGCTCAGCATCAGTTCATAATATTGTTAAGCAAGTATTTTATACAACAGAAACAGTCTATTCTACTGATTAAACTGATAAAGATATCTGGGTTCTGAACTCTGAATTCAGTGCTCATACTACACCTTACAAGAATCTCATATCAATAGTGCTGCAGAAGGTTAATATCATATTGAAGATAGCTGACAGATTAATAGCTTTTACAACAGCTATAGAGAAGGTGAATATATCAGTTAAAGAAGTGAATCTGCTGCTGCAGAATATCTGCTATATTTTCAAGCTGAAGATAAATCTTATGAGTTTTGAGAAGCTTATACATCAGAGCTATACATATAAGTAACTGATCTATGAGAACACTCATTCAATCTTGTTAATCTCTTCTGACAAGATGTTGAGTTTTACTGTCAAATTAAGTGATAAGAATATCTACATTCTGGAAAAACAATTAATAACTAGAGACTTGATTCAATTCACAATATTAAATAATGAATTTAAACCTGTAAAAATTCTACAGTCTGCAGAGAAAAAAGATCTCCTGCTAGCATTATTCAATAAGAATATTAAGATTGTTGAACACACAATGTTATAATAACATTAAAAGCTTGATCATCTCAATCCTGCAGATATCACTAAATTAGCAGCAGATTTATAACTGAAAATGAGAATCAAGAGTGACAGGGCTTTGCCATTCTGCAAGACCTGTGTACAGGTAAAAATGACACATTTAACATTCACATCAATGATAAGAACTGTCAAATCTGTGATGAGATTCTTTATAAATCTTGCAGGTGATGACTGTATACTATATGATGAAACCAATCTCTCTACTCATGAGAGAGTTAATTATTGAATGAGTATTACAGATGATGTCACACAATACAGGTGAATTATTCTTATAATATCAAAGAGTGAGATCACTGCACATTTGATGATCTTTATTGACAGAATTGAGGCCACTACTCAATGTTGAATTGAGACTTTACACTGAAATAGTGAAGATGAATTTAAAAGTAATGAATTAAAGATCTACTGCCAGCAGAAAGAAATCACATATAAGATCACTATATCTGATACATCACAGTTCAACGGCCCTGCAGAACATGTCAATTGTATTGTAGATGAAAAGATAAGAAGCTTACTATTTAACAGTGAGCTTGTAAGAGAACTTTGAAGTGAAGCTATTTAAGCTGCAGTTATAATAATCAACACATTCTCAATATTAATGAAGATTTACAGGTGTTAGAAGAGAATCTCATTATTTTCTTTTAAAGCTTAGACAGATGTTCAACCTTCTGCTCATTGAATACATAGATAAGAATGTAAGATGTATAAGAAGAATCTGAAAATTATCAATAAGCTTGTGAATAGAACTGACAGTAAGTAATGATAATTAGTTGAATATCAAGAACTGTATCAATATTGTATCTGAGACCCTGCAATCTGAAAGCTTGAGATTGTAAGAGATGTTGTTTTTGATGAAGAATTGATAATAGAAGAAGTATCAGTGAATGTTATTAAAGAAGCAGTTAAACTGTCAGAGAAATTGAATGTTCTTGACATTATAAAGAGATGACAACACTGTCTTCTAAGAAGACTCATAAAGAATAAACCTGATGTTTTAAAGATGCTTACTGATGATGATATGAACAGTGTGCTGAAACTGATGTATCTACTAGATGATGAGACAGAACTTGTTAATAATAATATGAATAACTCTGTGAATGATGAAGATTCTGTACTCAGTGTTCTTAATGACTGTCTGATCACACTGACAGAGATCAAAAGAAGTCATGACTGAGAACATTGACACCAGACAATGAGAAAGAAAGTGGAAACTTTTGAATGAAAGAAGACATATATTATCATTGAAAAGGCTCTGAAAATGAATATTCTTACAGGTAAATAAGTGTATGATCAGAAGTTGAATAATAAAAGTGAAATCATTCACTTTAGAGCTCATTGAGTAATTAGAGAATTTCTACAATAACAAGATATTCATTATAATAAGTTATATGCAGCAGTGATGTCTGAATCTATATCATGAAGCTTATTTACTATATCAACAGCAAGAGGTTGAAAAGTCAGATCAATTGACTATATATCTGTGTTTTTAAATGAGGTATTGCCTCAGAATAAGATGATATTTATGTAACTACTTACAGAGATCAAGTACAGTTGTAGTGAATTAGTAGGGCTTGTATGTCAGAGCTTATACAGAATGAAACAGATAGTAAGAACATGATATTTTCTTACAACAGAATACTTAATAAATCTAGAATTCAAGATCTCATCTTACAACAGTGAATTTCTTTATCATTCAATTCATAAGTTATTCTTAACACTATATATTAATGACTGTTGAATCACAGAGTCTGAAGAGAGTGAAATTGAGTGAATTTTAATGAAAATCAGAAAAAGATTTAGATAAAAGAAGTCAAACAGAATAAACCTTACCTGAAAATGAAGATTAAATACTGAGATAAAGATCTAGTGATTACACAGAGCTGTTATATTGAAGAAATATTGAAAGATTTTGAAATGAATAAGATTAACCCTGCAGAGACTTCAATGATAATGAGTATATAACTGAAATTTTCACCTGATGAGAATGATAAATTGAATAATAACTTTACAGCTATAAGATATTATCAAGAATTGAAATTATTACAATATTTAATCTCAAGCAGCTGATCAGACCTGGCATTCACAGTCAACTATCTCTTACATTTTAACTCATGTCTGCACAAGGCATGTTAGACAGTATTGAAGCATGTTCTACATTATATCAAGAAGATGAAAAATCATGATATATTATATAAGAAGAAGATAGAAGATAATCTGAGTTCTGTAACATACTGTGATTCAGACTGAGTAGAAGTGAATTCTCAATATAAATTGACTACTGACTATATTATATTGATTAACAGGTCACTGATCTCATGACATTCACAGAGACAGATATCTATTATCAAATCAATCACAGAAGCTGAATATATTGCAGCTAGTGAGACAGCTTATGAGATAATCTGATTGAATGACATGTTATATGATACTGAGTTGATGAATAATGAAAAAGTGAAAATATACTCATATCTATAAGTTGATAATAAGGGAGCAATTGATCTAGTAAAGAGGGAATTCTTAACACAAAGATTGCATCACATCAAGATTAGATATCATATTCTTCATAATTTAATTGAAAAAGAGGAAATCATGATAAAACATGTTGATTCTACAGTGAACATAGCTGATGAGCTCACCAAGCCACTGGCAAAGCCTGCATTTGAAGATTTTGTCAAAAGAATTGATTTGAAAGAGATCAGAAAGAAATGATTAAATGATAATAATAATACAGCAGATTAATAGATTTTGCATGTATTTCTTGATTTTTACAGTTATTACTGTACAGATGTCTTTCCTAATAAGGAAATTAGAGTCCAATTGATGTAATTAATTATTATTGCATTTTCAAAAGATTTGAGGATGGGGGAGGCCCCGGGTGGTGGCTTATAGGCCACGGTGTAGCAAGGGGGGGTGTTGGTGATTACTACACCTACCCTAGTCACGTGCCACCCCAACCTATTCATTTAGTGTAACTCGCGTAGTTAGATTACAACACAACAACATTATCCTCCAAGAGTAGTAGTAGTAGTAGTTAACTACAAGCAGTATCTTATTAACTTACTCAGCTCAAACGATTGTGCCGGGTTGCCGGCGGGCATGTCTTCCGCTTTGGGCATAGCTAGCCCTGATTCATTTATATACTACATGAAGAATCTGAGTATCTTTCGTATATGTTGTTAGGTCGCTACAAGCTCTAAACTCCGCCGCTAGATATGATAATTCTCCGAAATATAAACCTTTCCTCCTCGCCATTATTAATAATTGCTTACTTTTTTTTTTCTACATCACCCAACTCTTTTGTTTTGTTTTGTTTTGCCACAGGAAGCTCAAACGGGAGAAAACGTCAGTTCGCACTCCAAACATTTATTTATTCACAAAAGAAAACACATAGTTATAGAAATACAAATTCTTACGGCCGAATTTAAGTGGTCTTAGCAACACGTTTCTCTTAACACCATGCATCGTAAATGCCTCGGTGTGGCGCTCGCTGGTCCTTCATTTGCTCCTTACGCACGGGAGAACCTCGTGACGTATGGGGAGGACGTAGCCTTTGATTGACGACGCTTGGCTTACAAATGAATCTTCAAAATCGAAGCGGATGGGGTTGGTCTTTTTTTCTTTTTCAATAATATAGCTACGGAGGGAGCTTTCGTGTTATAACCCGTGCAGCTTCCCCCCCCTTTTGATTGGGGCGGGAGAGAGGAGGAAAAGGGGGGATAGGGGGAGGGGAAGTGGTAGTATGAGTAAGTAAGCGGTCCCGAAGAAGGGCAAAGGTGCAGGTTGTTGGAGGGAATGTATAAATTAAGTACCAACTGTAACTATTATTATATTGATTATCGTCTTTCATCATCCTTGCAGACAGCAAGAGCAAGGTAGATAGATAGATACAAGAAAAGAGGAAAAAAAAAAATTAAAAAAAGAAAAATTCAACTTTCGATGAAATAAAGAGAGGAATCCGCATGACGACACAAGATCGGGGTATTATTAACTGTACGATGAAACGACAGGTCAAAAAAAGGGGAACTTTTTACATGCATGTTTGAAAACACGTGTAAAGTAAAAAAAGACGAGCAAGTGGGAAAGAACAAGAACGAGAAAATTAGCCATAGCACAGAGAGAAATGGAAAACATGCAAAACGGCATCATGATACGGAAAACAAAAATCATTATGACGCAAAGGATAAAAAAGAATAAACCGACCAACGCCCGCATGCATGCAAAAAAAGAAACATAGCACAAATACAAAACCATGCACACAATAGATATACCATATTAGCTATGACCGCATATTAAAAGAGAAAAAAAAAAAAAAAAAAAAAAAAAAACAGGGGAAAAGAAGTTCAATCCTTATTAATAACCCTCAAACTCCGCCGAGGATTCAACATCACCCCCAAAAATGTCGGCTCCTGCCCAGCAAGCAGGTCGTCCGTACTGCTATACGCACTCCCCAACCCCCCAGCGGGTCCGCTGGACGGTCGAAAATCTCCCGTAAACCCGCGATAGCCCGGCTGCGTCCCTCCTCCCGCCCCAAAGGCAGCAGTTACGTTCGACCCGGTCTCGCTGAACGACATGTGCCGTGCGCTACCAGTATTCTCAGAGGAAGAGAGAGGAACGAAGGAAGCTCCGAATTTGTCGCCGTTGAGCGCGATGCGACTGCTGGTTGGCGAGCGCTGGACGGCGGCGATGTGGCTCTTGTACAGCGCTAGCTGGCGGCGGTAGACGAAGATGCAGAATCCGAGATAGATGGCGAGGATGAATAGGCACCCCGCGACAACGCCGGCGGCTATGGCCGCTACGTTGGGTCCTCCCCCCCGGCCCTGGCCCGGTAAGCTGGTGTGGGTGGTTACGGAGCCATCCGGGTTCGTCACGGTGTATGTGATGGGTTTCCCTGTTGCCATGGGCCCTCCTGTGGCTGCCGTTGCGGGTTTAGTTACCGTTGCACGCCCCTGGTCATCGCCGCCGATGACCTTTTGGACGGCCTTGGGGACCTTATAGCCATAGCTACCGCTCAGGCCTCTCATGTCATGCTTTTGGGAGTCTTGTTGGTTCAGGTAGTTGGCCCCTTCCAGCGCAACGTATTGCGTTTTCCATTGTAATGTGGATGCGTCGAAGATGTAAATGCCGGGACTGTCGCAGGTCAGGTCTTGCCCCACGTAGCCGCCCATCACGATGATTTGAGAATTCCAGATATTGCACGTGTGTCCTGCTCGGGCTGGGGGAACGGACTGGCCATTCGTGTTGACTTTGATCCACGTGAAGCTGGGGATGCTGAGGATCCACATGTCGTCGTACTGGATCTGTTCTCCATACGGAATTAGGTTTTGCCCAGCATATAGATACACCTGAGTGCTGCTTCCATCTGCTGCGGACGCAGCAACTGCGCACGGATTAACTCGGATCGCTGGCGTCTCTCCGCTTGTTGCTTGTTTGTACCACATGGAAGTTTCAATGTCATAGACATCGATAACATTCATTTGGGTCTATTAGTCAGAGCAGTTAGCGAGCTGGTTTGTATGAACATAACAGACTATCCACATTGGGGGGATTTTAATATAACACTTACGAATGTCGCATTGGTCCCACCAGCCAGACCCAGAATAACCCCATGTTTTCCAAATCCAGGCACATATACCAAGACTCCATCAGCCCTTTCAGTAAATCCGGCAGATTCTTGGAGTCCACCCTCGGTGATATTTCGCCAGGCACCATTCGATCCGGCAGGTTTATCTCCTTTTAAACTTTCTACATCGTTGTTCATAAAGCCAGGGAACGTATACTCGATGAACGACTTCAGATATACTCGTGGGACGGAGAGGTCCCAGCCCTCAGTCGTGTATCCATCCAAATGCCCTCCAAAATAGAAGCCCCTTCCCAACTCCAGAACCGTAATGCCTGCGCCTTCCGCAGACCGCTGAACAGGCCGATCACCGGCATTGGAATTGCTCCCCCGAGAAGTACGGGGATTTTTATGTTCCTTCCAGCTCGACGACGGAATGTGGTACTCCCATAAACTGAATGCCGTAGGGAAGTCCCGTGGATTATCGGAGTACTCTCCGCCATATAGATACAAGGATTCGAGGGAATTCCAAAGGTATCCGTTTGACACTGGTGGGGGCCCGGATAGTCGGGGGAGGCCGGTAAGTTTGGGAGCCGATATATCCCAAGTGGTTTTTAAATCGAGGGTCATAAAGTCATTGTCTATTATCATCAAAACGAAACGGTTAGCAGAACACATTTCCGAACAGTGAGAGATATAGTTATCCACCTTGAGGATCGGAATTGCATGTACATACTCCACGTGTTATCTTTTTGACTTGAATCGGTCATGGACCGTCCTCCAAAACTATACAGTGTCCCATTGACCACTGCTGTTTGTTGAGACCATCGCTTGCAAACATCCGTCGGTGTATCCTCGCGCCTAAAGATCCTGTCTCTACCCACCCGGCTATATATTCGATCCGAGTTCGGTGTCGCAGCCCTCGCCGCCACACCCATCACCCCGACCCCGTAAGAATGGTCATTATGAACAAGGAAATAAGTAAAAAGCGCGAAAGAAAGAAACCGCAGCGACAATCGAGGCATCGATAGATGGGAAAGGAAATAAGCGAGAGGCATCATCTATCATCGGGAATACAAAATCCCCTGGGGTATCCTATCGAAAGAGTCGGATTCTTGAATCTAACCCGACCACTGATTACTACTATATTAGTATGTTCGCTCTCGCTCAGTTACTCATCACCCAACGCAAAAAGAAAAAACAAACCCCGGAAAGTTCAAACAAATCCAATTATTTATTGAATAATAAAGAAATCAGAAATGTAAGGATATTAGAGGAAGAGGAGGAGGGGGGGGGGGGGTGGAAAGAGCGAATAAATGTTGAATGTCCCAGGTCTGAGAATGTCTCACTCTCCGCCGGCCTCCCAAGTCGACAAAAACCTAGGGATTGTGCCGGGATTGGCCAGTAGCTTCAAACGGCCAAAAAAACGCTTGACCTGACCGAAACGGGACCGTGTGATCACCGATCAGAAAGTAATAATAATAATAATGAGAGTAATCATGAATAATAGGTCTCTGGAGTTGGCATAAAGAATCTGAACGGATAATGGAGTAAGCCAACGTACAACCGCCGAAATTCTGTATGTATCGTCGTCCATAGGTTGAGAAACAAAGAAACTTCTTCCATGCTACTCCGTACATCGTAGGAATAGAGGAGTTTAACCAGCCGTTCCTTGCTGACTCCCCGCAGCAAGATACGTAACGCGCCAACCGGCAGCGCTTGGCAAGTCGGCAATAAACAGTATATTCCCAAGCAATTGGTTCGTCTTCGTCCGGCATCATCATGCACTTTGTTGGTGGATTCTTTAACTACCAGGATGTTGCTTGAGCAAAACGAACGCAAGGACTCGCAGGTGGTGGTGAGGATCCTCGGGGCTCGAAACCATATCACGTGATATAGACACAGAGATTGCCGGCTCAAATCAGTTCCACAGTTGTTTGTATGGCTTTTTAAAGCATAAAAACTCTCTGAACAGGGGAAGGAGGTGTACATTGTATGTATGGACTAGTAACTGTACCTACCTAGGTTAGACGCGCGATGTTTCAATTGAAAGGGGAGCGAGTTTAATTTGATCTAAATATAAATACACTTTCTCTTAAGTTAACTTACCCCGCCAACATCTGTACGGACTAGTTACCTATAACTTACTCCGTACTTCTTACAAGGGCTTGATGGATAACTAAAACATGTGGCAGAAGTAGGCGAGCTTTGGCCGCTTCGATTTCCCCGAGAATTCACGGGATCGCTGCTTTAAAACCCATTACATTGTAATTTGTTGAAGCTTCGTTCTTAAAAACAGGGCGATAAACTACTTAGCTTATTTGGTTCTTGTATGCTTATTTTCAGGCCGGCGCTAGCTTAGCGGAGCCCAAACTTTGGTCTGGAAGTCTAGAGTCAAATGGTTGGTTGTTATGCAACCGTCCCTGGAATAATAATAATAATGTTGTTCACTCCTCTCCCGATATCTTTCCATGGTTGCTACGAAGAATAGAAGTTTCGATTTGAAACTTATTACTGCGTACTAGTTTTATCAATCCCAGAGAAAGCATATATGCCATCGAAGCTACTTATAATATTAACAGCAATTGGAAGGTTAATTAACAAGGAAACTCAATTTCGGTTTCTGCATCCTTTTCTTTCCTTCTCTTTCTTCTTTGACGGTTATATATTCGCCGATTATATTGCAAACTGAAATCGCCCCCCCCGCTTTGAAACCAATCTAAAGTCGGGCGAGATTGCCAGTGACTCGTGAGAATCTTTCAGATCCAGTGCAGCTACCGGAATACACAAAATCCTCCGCAGTAGGGACTGCACACTTTTCACCAATAAGAAGCGCGGTCTAAGTTATTCTACAGTCGCGCAAAAGTTAGCATCGGGCGTATGTGACTAGAAAGGGAAAGAGAAGGGACAAGGACGCCGGAGGCATCCCTACACTGGAATAATGTCAGGAGATACGGAAAGCTTCAGCCCCTTCATGCCGTCGAGACCATTCCGATGGACGGGAATAGTTAGAGAGAAGCTGTGATCGAATGCAGCTTCACGTCACGGGGAGATATGCCAGGGCGATAAAACCCTTCTCAAATAGAAAGAGCTTCAATGAGGTGCACATGAATATTACAGTCCAGGTTGGTCAGGCTGCCAACAGGGACGCAAAACGGACCTCCCTCCTCGCGGTAGATCAATTTGAATTAGAACCTGCGGAAGGAGGAAGAGGAGGGGGGGACCGGGGGGGTTGATATCCGTGCCCGTACTAATAGACCCCTAGACCCCGCTCTCCGCATTATCGGGAGTGGGAGATAATATTTCGTCGTATTCTATATGATATATAATAAAATCTTTGTGGATGCAAAGCTAATTGAAAAAAGAGCAAGGTAGGTAGTAAGGAGTTCAGGAGTTAGGTTCCAATCGTCTAGGGCTAGCGGGATAGTTAGTCATAAAGTCATAAGAAACGCAAACTTCTTCCAATGAAGTTCCTCTCCACCATTGGAAACTTTTGAGGGGGGTTCGAATGAGAAACAATATATGAGAAACTCTATATATTGAGGTGAAGGGGAAAGTAGTAGTGCTCATTTCTGGCAAATGTGGGGACGATATGGTCATGGCGGTTCAGAAAAATAAAAATGAAAATGAAAATAAAAATAAAAAGAATTCATTTATAGAGTAGGATGCCATTGAAATGTGAAATCTTAGTTTTAAATGGAATTGATATAACCGTTGGCACCTTCTGCCCTAGGTTAGAAAGATGGGAACTGACTAATGGACATAATATTGTTGGAGTTTTTATGGTAGTTTGGCGGTCATGTGTGGACAAGGTGAATGACGAGCAAACCCGCTCGGTCCGTCGCGCCCTCTAAGGAACAAAATGCAGGGCGTTATCTAGGTAGCTGGCACTCGTTGACAATGTTGGACGACATATGAAGAATTCCAGACTTTGATATAGCATCCGCTCCCATCCTTCCTCTCGGGATGTTGTTCAAGAGTTATATCCAAATATTGTGTAGGGCCCAAGCTCCCTTGTTTCTCCGCTCGAGACACGCATTCGTATAACCGACTAAGGCATTTGCCCTGTGAATAGATAGTCGTTTCCGAGGAAAGTTGATAAAACTGGTCTTGTACTGACTCGGGTGATGAACGGGTAAACGCAAATGCTCGCTGAAAACCTGCTGCAGCCAATCGCTCTTTACCCGTTAGACTTTTCACGAGTCATGCATGCCAATGCGCCCGTTCAGTTTTGTATGTATTTCCCATCAAAATCCTTGGCGCTTATTTTTTATATTTTCTCGGGCAGCGGCTCGACCCAAATTCTTCCTTGATAGGACTAACGCGTACTGGGAGAGGCTCGGGAGAACCAGCTAATTCCGCCAGAGCGGTGTTTCCAAGGACTCTTGATATATAGCGTAACGAAGATCCTGGGAATGTGCATCCATTATTGCATCTGGACTCCTGATAGCTGGCGTCTCCGCTCAAGAATGTCCTGCCGAAGCTTCTCCGCTGCCAATTCCACATCGATTATCCCACTCACTCCTCGTTTCCAAGCATCCTCCAACCCGACAAGCTCGCCCCTTGCTGTCTCCTGCCTCATTTTCCTCTCTTTATGGACGGCATCTGTAGCTTCCTTCGTTTCCTGCAGTTCTTTTTCAATCCGTCGTAGTATATCCTCCAGTTGCGAGTTACCGATAAGCCACGCGTTCTTTCCGTGTGCCTCTAGTAGAGCTAGATTTTCCTGTCTTGTGGATAGATGAGAGCTGGCAGTGTACGCTTTTCGTAGCGTTTGTTGCCAGCAATGTAGGATCTCCGCAGGTTCTTTCCCTGACGCCAGGGTGTCCTCTGGAGCTTCCGGAGCCTCGTATCTCGACAAGTCAATGCCGCCCGTTAGAGGCAGGTTCGCCTCCTTTCGGTCCAGTTCCTTTTGCATGAGGCTGGAGAATTGACTTTGGGGTAGAGCGGGGATGGACGGGTGGAGGACTGTTTGGTGATTGGGGGCCATTTCAGCGGAGATGAGTTTGTCAATATCGGCACGAGCCTGCGCCGTTGGGTCACCATCAATGTCTGGCCAAGTGTTAATAAACCATGAAGCCGTCGATTGCACGGGGAGGAGGATGATCGCGACTTTAGCAACTTACATGGTAGGGAGTCGTGGAATTCGTTTATAAGAGGCATTTTCCTGTTGTCGCTGAGATTTGTATACTTGGTGGTTGAAGCCCTGAAAGTCTCCTCCGGTCTGTGTGTTGAATGGTTTGGGGGAGATAAGCAATGCTGTAGTTACACCACATCGCAAGAATAGATATCACGTGATTACACTAAATTCCCTCCCTTGTACGGATTAGCTACAGCCTTGTACCACCTAGGCAAATTTAGTATGTGAGGGTACCTGGGAGACAAGCAACACAACCATGTACCCTTCCACACTAAATTAGCCTGCTGGTACATGTACATATAGTTACAAGCCGAACCGAGCTACATGGGTTCCTCCATATCACAATAATCTTTGGCAGCTGCGAGTCTTTGAATCTTTCTGATATTTTCATGATTACCCCGGCTTCATGGCAAGGCGTGGCACATGTTTATCTCGAGTTGCACTCTAATTCATCGGCAATTGGCCCCTTAGAGTTGCCTGTACTCGGCACATCCTGCTCGTCGGTTGCGATGCCAGCACCGGGGATGGGGAAACAGTTGGCTTCAACATGCCATTTGACAGGCAAAACTTCCCCAGATTTCATGTCCCGACGGCGATCATCCTTCAGTAGTCGCTGGTTTGGCCCTGACTACCGTGCGCGAAGATGGCCAGCTCTGGTGCTACCAGTGTTTGTCCACCGCAACAGGGAATTCTAAATCCTGATTTGATCCAAAGTAAGCTCGCTTCGAGATTCTTAGGAACCTCCATCATGTGGCCCTCATCCACTCCGCAGGAATCCAAACGCGCCCTTCAACCGCAGCACCAAGCGTGAATAGTTGCATTGCCCCTGAAATATTTACTCCGGATCCTGAAGGGTCTCATGCCCTGCTCACACGATGTGGGCCATATATAAGTAGAACCCTTTTCGCTGTACGACCACGCTACAAACCCCGAGGCAGGGCCTGCTGTCCGACATTCCTGCGTCGCTCTGAGTCTTTGAGCGCATCTTGTTCTACTGCTATTAAAGACATTTCAAACCACGACTGAAGATCTCCATTCAAGATGGCGCCTGGGGGAATCCTCGCGGGCTTGCTCGGTTCGTTGGCTTGCGTACTCGTCCTTTTGCACTTTGTTTTCGTCGTGGAAGATACTCAACCCTCACCATGGTACTCTTCCAAGACAAGCGCATATTCCGGTAGGTCACGGCAATCGAATGGGGAAGACGATGTGTTTCTCTTGGGTACTGGGAAGGCTGATATTACTGGGCAAGTCCCTCCGGTCAAGCGTCTATTCGGTTGTATTGGTGTTGCCAACTGACTAACAATTCCTTTTTATTTTTTATTTTTTGCCTCTGAAGACCTGTCGTGGAGCTCAACCTCATGGGTTACGCGGATATAAATCAAGTGGGAACCGGACTTCGACAGCGCATCTATTCCCGTGCCTTTATCGTGGGAAGCACCAAGAATCCTGATGAGCGTTTTGTATACCTCGTTCTCGATAATGCGATGGGTGACACTGCAATTAGACAAGGTATCTTGGACGGGCTTAGAGCTCTAGGTGGAGAGTACACTCGCTACGGAAAGATGAATGTTGCCGTTACAGGGACGCACTCACACGCGGGACCTGGAGCATGGTTGAACTACCTCCTACCACAGATTACAAGCTTGGGCTTTGATAAACAGAGCTATCGGGCAATTGTTGATGGCGCATTGTTATCTATCAAGAGAGCTCATGAGAACTTGGCTCCTGGCCGGCTGAGCTTTGGATCTATCGAAGTTGAGGACGGCGCTATTAACCGCAGCCCATCCGCATATATCGCGAATCCGGAGGAAGAAAAAAAACGTTACAATTCCGATGTTGACAAGACACTGACTCTCTTGAAATTCGACCGGATCGCCGATCAGAAAACTATCGGTATCCTTACCTTTTATCCTGTGCATGGAACATCGCTTTTCGGTAACAATACACTTATCGCTGGAGATAACAAGGGCGTTGCTGCGTACTTGTTTGAGAGAAGTGTTCAGGATGATGCGAAATATGCAGATGACTTTGTGGCCGGATTCTCGCAGTCTAACGTTGGAGACACGTCCCCCAACACCCTTGGAGCTTGGTGTGAGGATGGATCTGGTCTTCCGTGTACCTTCGTATGTTCACTATTTCTCCAGTACAATCATTCTAGCTTAAAAAGGCATACTGATATTATACAATAGAAAGAAAGCACTTGCGGTGGGAAAACCACAGCCTGCCATGGTCGTGGGCCCTATTTCCGCGAAATGGACCAAGGGGCAAAAAGCTGCTTTGAAAATGGTCGCCGACAGTATGCTGCAGCCAAAGATCTGGTTGCCAAAATGAACTCAACGGCCGTTACAATTCGTGGAGCCGATAATGTAGCCGCCTTCCATACATTCCAAGACTTTTCAAATTTTACTTTCACGTCTCCGCTTGATCCCAGTCGTGGCAACCTGAATACTTGCTACGCCTCCCTTGGCTTTTCGTTCGCCGCAGGCACCACCGATGGCCCTGGGGTGTTTGATTTCACCCAGAACGCAACGGATGGATCCACGAAAAACCCATTCTGGTATGTCGCAAGAGACCTCCTCCATGCCCCTTCGAAAGAGCAGAAGAAATGCCAAGAACCTAAAATCATCCTGCTTGACGTTGGCGGATCGAAATTGCCCTACGCCTGGTCTCCAAACATTGTAGACGTCCAGCTGTTCCGTGTAGGCCAAATGGTCATAATTGTGTCTCCAGGTGAAGCGAGTACAATGGCTGGCAGACGATGGAAAGAGGCTATCTCCAAATCAGCAACCGATGTTCTCGGGATCTCCGACCCTATCACCGTCTTGGGCGGTCCCGCAAATACCTATGTCCATTATATCACCACAGAAGAAGAATATGGTGTACAGCGTTACGAAGGAGCATCTACACTCCATGGACCCCATACCTTGGCTGCTCACATGAATCTAACCCTCACATATCTGCCATATCTCAAAGATTCGCCATCTAGAAAGAAGTTGCCGCCCTTCCCTGCGGGACCTAGCCCACCAATCCATACGGATATATCATATTCTTTCATAACTCCAGTTATCCACGACACCACGCCGATTCAAAAGAAATTTGGGGATGCTATCTCCTCTCCAGACAAGTCCAAAGCTTACAAACCAGGGGACACAGTTAGAACCAAGTTCATCGGCGCCAATCCACGGAATAACCTTAGGCTCGAGGGAACATATACTGCTGTTGAGTACTCAGCGCCAGGCTCGAGGAGCTGGGAGGTAGTTCGGGACGATTTCGACTGGACGTTAGTTTATCATTGGAAGCGCATCAATCCTGTCCTGGGCACCAGCGAGGTTACCGTTGAGTGGCTTATTGATGACGAGTTCTATTCTGTTGGGAACCCAAGAAAACTCAAGAGTGGGACCTATCGCATGAGATACTTCGGCGATTGGAAGAAGATAAACGGGGAGATCACACAATTTGAAGGAATTGGAGAAACCTTCCAGGTGCAGGTGTGAGAAAAAAAAATTTTTTTTTCTTGGGTTTGCCGTATTGCATTTTAGGGAAAGAAGCAAATGAAGTAACCAACCAACTCCATGTCGGATTTTCTTTTCTTGTTGCTTTTTGCAATTTTTCTTTTCCCCCGCCTCCCTCATTTCTTTGTCCCCGAATTCCCCTTGTACAACATCAAATATAAATCAAATGAAGAAACATTTTTAAATCTATCTTCACGGCCTTTGCTGATCTGCATATCCCGATATCTCCTGGTCTATTCGGCTGCCGTCCGGGGACCTGTTATAAAAGGACCCGAATGCCTGCTATCACGCCTTCGCAAACGTTCGCATGACTTACGTAGGCGTGGTGCAGTATTTGCAGGAAATGACAAATGCAGGACGGAGTACGCTGGATAGTTCTTATTCCCCCAGGATCCGCAAATAAGGAAAGGCATTTTCATCCGATTCGAGCAGTAAATATGTATTTCCAACAGCTCTCATTCGATAACGGAAACCAACCCGTCGACGGCTTGTGTTAGTTTTATATTAACATGTTCTGTACCTTGCAGAGATCCGAGCTATCTCGCACTCTTATATCGCTCATCCAAGCCCAGTTGGCTGATCTGGCCACGGAAGAACGCAGAAACCAGAAGTATTTATCTCCGTATTAATTCATTCTCTCCAGATTCTTTTCTCATAATTCATTATTTTGCTTTGTTTCGTCGCAATCCTCTTTTATACCTGCTCTTTCATCCATCCCAACCCCCATTCCGCCAATCGGGTGATGCGTGCTGTGCCGCTGGTGCGCAACATCTGCTCTTTGTCAACGCTCCCGTCGCCCCCGCGTCCCCCAACCATGCCTCCGTGCGACAGAGTGTACTTCCAACATAACCCACATCTTCTCTTTTGTGTTGCTCTCAAGTCGAAACACCTTTGCTTTATCTAGCTTCAGTTAATCCACTGTCATAAAAAATAACAGGGCCATAACTAACGCGGTATACCTCCCTCCACCACCCACACCATGGTCACATACTAACACGGTTATCACAGACTGGTTCATGGCGCCCACAAGAACAATGTCCAAGTCTTTCGCGCCCATACTTCATCCCCTCCCCCCTAGTTTAAAATCTAGGTCAAGGGAAGAAGAATGCGTCTTTGGCAGTTAGCTGTCGGCTCTCTCTCACAGGGACTTATAGGACTTGTGTTCTCCCACTGCATCTGGTCTTCGTTCCCCCCCGGGCCTCTTGAAGATTAGATATTTTTCCTCTGCCACAGCTCCTCTCTTCAGAGCTTATTATCCGTTTCATGGGCTTGTCATGAAATCTTGCACTTTACTCTAGCTTTAGAGAACCTGTTCCTTACGTCTTTCTTTCCGCTTTAATCAGTCGTTTGTTCTTTTGCTATCTACCCAACACACTTGCTGAAACATTTCGTTAAATCCTTTCGCTTCCGGCATTTCACCATCCTTAAAACTACTTTTAACTGTATAGGCACAAGGCCGCATAAGTCCCGGCTCCTAATAGCGAGATACATCTGCTGGTTTCATTCTCCAAGATGCGTTTCGAAAATTGCGTCCTATGCTCTCTGACATTTGCAATCTTCGTCGCGGCCGGTCCCGTTCCTCAGCGTTCGCAATACCCCAACCTATCTCCATTGAGAAGTGCGACGAATGAAGTGAGCCCTCTCTCGCCTGGGGAAGTTTCTTCTGTTGCTGCAGCGCGTCAAGGACGTGCTCTATTTTTCAACATCAATGATGTCGTCGAGCAAAAACTAGCCGGAAACAATGAGGCCTGCGTGGTAATAAATCGCCCGCATCTGTCTACAACGATATGTTCGACTTTTGGAGCTCCACGATCTACAAGTCCTACCTTCCGCAGTACAGACATCCCGGTCGCTACAGCAGATGTACTGGTAGATGGGACTACCAGCATTACCAGCACACAAACTGTGACGATTACTCGACAACCTCCACATACTAAACCTTCCTCGCCTCCTCCTGCTTCTTCACCTCCACCGCCACCACCACCACCACCTCCTCCGCCTCCGCCTCCGCCTCCTTCTTCTTCACTTCCGCCTCCTCCGCCTCCTCCACCACCCCTTTCGAGTCCTAGTCCACCTGATGGAGGTGATGCTTCTAGGCGTCCCGCCATAATTTCTATCCCAGCTGTGTCCACGGAAATTGGCCCCGATCATCCTGGGACACAAGCTCTAGCTACGCGAGTGGACATGGCATCTACTCTAGCTATACCAACCGAGCCCATCAGGCCCACCAAAGCACCACACCCCCCGGCCGAAACAGGCCGACTATCTCCATTCCCATTCTCATTTCCCTGGTCCCTTCCGCTGCCCTGGTTTCTATTTCCGGGTACAAACCTAGATACAAACTCAATTGTGAACCCAGGTGGGAGCACTATCATACCGCAAGGCACAGAAGAGCCGCCTCAGGCGACGGGTACAACAACTACCATCCGCGTTACCAAGACCTTTGTGTCGACAGTAATCATGCCGGCGATCGACACTGCGCGTGCACCTGCACCTGCTCCTGCACCTGCTCCCAAGCCCGCACCCGTACCTGCACCCGCACCTGCACCCGCACCTGCACCCGCGCCTTCACCCGAGCCTGCACCCGAGCCTGCACCTGAACCTGCACCCGCGCCCCCGGGAACCAACCAAAAAACTCCGCAACAGCCACCCCAGGAGCAACCACCTCGGCAAAACGTGAAAGGAGGCCAGATGATGACAACCACAGTATATATAACGGCATGCGGCCCCGCATACTCTCCAGAACCTGTCCAAGGAGAAAACCCTCCATCAGCTCAACCAGCACAACCCCCGCCAGTACAAGTAGCACCAACTCCAACTGAAGCACCGCCCCGAAAACATGCACCCCCCGCTCCACCTGCACAGGTGGCACCAACCCAGGCGCCTTCAAGGGAAGAACCACCGCCATCACCACCACCGCCGCCGCCACCTCCCCCGGCTAACCAAGCGCCACCCAACAACCCTCCCCCAGCTAATGGTCCGGGTGGAGACGGCGAGCGAGGCGGCGGCGGACGCGGCGGAGGTAACGGCGGTGGCCACCATGGCGAACCCGGTGGCGGACGCGGAGGGGGTGGACGAGGTCACGGCAAAGGCCGTCACGACGATGATGATAATGGCCGTCGCAAGGAAAAGACCTACGAGGATGTTCACCCTGTCACAGTAGGAGAGGATGGGGTGCTAAGGGACGGTGGCGGTGACCGTGACCGTGAGGGTGGAGGAGGGCTGGTCGGCGTCCTCACGCGGGCGGCGGATGAGTTATTACTTGGCTAATGCTAGAAAGGCGGGGGTTGTTTTTTCCGTACCGTTTATTGTGATGGTCTCTTACTCGGTTTTGAGGTGTTGTATTCTTTTTTTTCCGCTAGTGGGAGAGTGAATAGAATAATATTTTTGAAAAAAAGGAAGGGAGCTTAATATTAATATATGCCATGGTGGACATTGGTGGTTCGAAATATGTCTCTGTCCTGATAGGCATGGGTGTGGATTCGAGTTTACCTTTTCGGAAGGAGAAGTTATACATACATAAGATGCTATTCTATCCATTGGCAATATGAGAAGAACTGGTAGTCAATTACCCTTTTTTTTTTCTCCCTCGAGTAGCCTCTATACATGTTCAGTCGGCGCCTCTCCACCTAGCGTGAGATATTAGGGGCCCTCAAGTTCCCCATACAACGGCTTTCTCTCGTGTAACTCGGTTTGAAGAAAATCGCATTATCATACAGACATTATTATGGTATCATATAGTTAATAACTACCCAACGAGGCCGGAAACAAACCAAAAGAAAAGAAAAGAAAGAAAAAAAAAAGGGGGGGGGAAAGAAATGATATATCGGTATAGCGCGATTCATGAACAATAAATCAACCGGAACAAAACATACACCAAACATTATCCGTGCATAAATATCGTATTAGATGCTTTAAGTTCAACCGTAACTATCTTTAACTTTAACCTTCCACTCCGTGTCTACCGGAACCGAAACCGAAACGCCCGAAAGGAAAGCCGAAACCCAGAAAAATTGAAGATGGGGAGAGAGAAGAGATAGTACGGGCGTGTTTGATTGTCGAGAATATTATGGAAGAGTGCGATATTCACTATGACGTCCTGCCTCTGCGCGCTCGATGGCTATCCGCCGACGTCTCTCAAAATCGGCTGCCCATAGAGCCGAACCGGCGGCGGTGGTGAGAAGGAAAAACATGGAGAGCATGGGGATCAGTTGCAGGATTAAGGCAACTGTTCCGAACCTGTGGATGTATTTGATGTTAGGGGGGGGGGGTTGGAGCAAGTGAATCTAGATTTCCGAGGGACTAACCATGTATACCGAATCCTCCTTTTTGCCACGAACTTCTTCCTTTCATTCTTATTAAACCCTCTTAATTCAAAATACCTCCAATGTTGCAACGGCCCCGCACGATAGCCTGCTAGGATCAGAAACATCGGTGTCCCAGCCACGGGCACAAAGTTAAGCGGCAGCAGAACGATAAACTCCACAATCTGCCGCACCGAGAAGGGCGCATATATGGCACTAGTAATCGGCTTACCCAGCCTTTGCATTGGATTTAGCGATAGAGCAGCATCCCCGTTGCCGTTCCCATCACCGTCGCCATCCCCGCCTTGACTCTGGTCTGCTCGAGGATGTATGGCCCGCGAGGTAGCGACCAGGTCTTCTTCACCCTGACTTATTAGAACGGCATCAAAGACATCAACGAGCGTCTCATCGACGAAGAAGGCTTCGAAGAGTATTTGGACGATTGCGGCGCCTTCTCCCAGGACGAGGAAGAGTCCATTTACCCAGGCGCCGCTACCTTGGAAGATGGCGAGAAAGGCAACTTGTGGGAGATAGGTGAGGGTGAATAGGAGGGTATAAATGAAAGCAGAGAGGAGGGAGATGGAGAGTAGTCGTGCACGGAACAGAGGCCATAGGAAAGGATGGGAGATAAAGAATATTATGCCCTGGTTGTAAATAAAGTTGTTAGCAGTATACCTA